TGCCCTAAGCTACAACTTGTTTAGCTTATTTGTAATTCTGTCCCTGTTTATAATATATAATTTCATATACATATATAGATTTTAACGGGAGGATTTAAATTGGTTCCTACTTGAAATCATTCTTACAAAGAATTTTGCTAAATCCTTTTCAGTAAATTGCTTAAATCAGAGATTTACAGATTCCTAGTTGATATACTTGTATCAAATATGTTGACTTTCAAATGAGTTTGAAGTGGAAATAAAATAGATGCAAATTTTTTTCTTTCATAAGCTTGACCTGAATTTTTTTAACATTTACTGACAATGTAATAAAAATGACACTAAAAGAATTAAACCCAGGTGTATAAACGTAAAGTTTTCTAGTAAATTTACATTTTAGAAAACGGTATTCAAATGTGTAAGAAACGAAATTTGTCTCTATAATTACTTTTAATTTCCTTTTTTTTCCTTTCAATTTTAACAGTTTAAAACGTAATTCAAATTTGAATTCTTCTTCAATAATTAGCTAATTGTTTTGTATTTTATCTTTATTTTTCTTTAACGATAAATTGTGCAGAATACTCCAGATTTACATTTTATCAGACTTGCCACCTAAAAAAAGTAGCACTTAAATTGTTTAATCTTTTACTATAGTTAAATAATACTCCAATTAACTTATTAAGCTTTAGAATTTTATTTGTTATGTTAATTTAATTTAAATATATTTCCAACAAAGCACTTAAAATAAAAAAAACCTGCTTTTTACTATCTCGTTAACTATTTTCTATGCTTTTCTAAAGACATTTGAAGGATAATTTTGATGGATAAACTAAATGTACTGATTGAAAAGCATTTTAGATTTAGAAGAAACTCATTAATATTATAATTTTATTTATTTGTGTACTTTCTTTGTCATTATATTTAGACTAAGCTTAACACTGTTTGTCTAATGGATATAAGAACCATTTACCGAAATATAAAGTTCTATATAAGTACTCTGATATAATTAATAGCGTAGTAAGTAAAAATGTTAGCTATATTTTGTCTGACAATTTTTTCCAGCATCAGCTTTTATCTTTATTGCAATCGTTTCTAATTTTTATGATGCTTTTGTAGCTAAAATATACGTGTATATACAAGTAAATGCTATATTTGTCATGAATTCGTATATGTTGCAGTCACGATAAACATTTTAATGATGATTTAATATATTAGAAATATTAAAAACATACTTATTTTTATGTATTAAATTATTTACTTTTTAGAAATATTCTAAATATAATTCCATATTTTTGCAGCAATTTTTCTTTTTTGGTAAGAGATATGGCAACAGAAAAAGAGTCGCATCATAAATAATGGTTTATTATTTTGAAGTTTTAGAGTAAATATATAAATTATTTACTCTAAAACTTCTGTTTTTAATAAATAAAAATTTTTACTTGCAGGAAAACTTTTTAACTATAAGATTTTTCAACTAACTTGTAAGATATATTAGCTTGTAATGTTATCTTTATGTGGGTTTGCTGCAGGAAAAAAATTTACATCAATAATTAATTTGAAAAATAAAAAATTCAATTATCGTTAATATTGTTAGAAAAATTGCTTCGAAATACGGTTAGAATCAATTAATTATTTATAACTTATCCAATTTATAATGAATTAGTTATTTTAATTTTTTACTCTTGAATTAGTTTAAACTATATGTAAATTGTTTATATTTTTATAATTAAAAAAATTTATTTTTACAAAATAGAGTCCTAAATCAAGAATTTTATTCTAAACAATTTCTTATTCTTGATACATTTCACATTATATCGAATAATGTTGTTTCATTCATTCTCTTTGAGAAATTTGAAATCAAAGTAGAAAACATGAAATTCGGAGAAAAATAGTGAAATCTAATTAAAATACAGATAAAATAGTTTATATTTGTTCTTAAATCCAATAATACGAAAATATTTAATATATTTTCTACTAGTACAACGCTAGAATGCACAACTATATGTGAGGAAAAAATATATAGACATAATAAATTAATAAATATTTATTAAAGTGTGTAATAATTTATATTATAAATAGATTTATAACATAATACAAAAATAATAAATATGAGAATTTGAGATAATATCAAAATACATCAAAATTATTACGACAAATTCTATTCATAATGCATCAGTGAGAATAAAACAATTCAGTTGAATCAAAGTTATTTTTCATTAAGACATACTTTAAACTTAATAAATTAGATTTGTTTTAAAATATTTTACGTCATACGAATTATTTATTTCATTTTACCTAATTTAAAATTATGTACATTTTTTTAAACTGCAAATGTTATATTTATAAAGGGTTTTTCTCTTATCTGTTAACATTATAACTCTGTTTTAAAATATTACTTTTAGAATTTAAAAAATATATATATTCGAGAAAGAAAATTAAAATTTTTATATATGAATAAAAAAACTTATTTTGTATTCGTAAAATATTCTAAAGAAAAATTTCCCGGAGGAAAAATATGATATCCCTATCGCTAACCAGTACCAAATTCTGTCATAAACAGAATTTGACGATACTGTAGGCTATGATAATGCATAAGTCATGTACAGTACATTAATTATTAAATTCACTCTACCTTACACCGCAATATGTATATCAAAATATTCGGAAATTTACCAAAATATTTGAATTCTATTCTATTAATAATTCTTTCAACCGTTAATTAATAAATTAAACGATTAAGAAATTATACTTTTCAAAATAATAATCATTTCTTCTTCAATATAATAATATATTATTTTAAAAGTTATATTTATTTTTATAAATTAAACTATTTTTAAATACTCATTTAATTTAATTTAATTTAATGAATAATGTGTATTCAAAATGTAATTTTAATTTTAATTTTTGTTTTTAAGTATTAATTATAGAAACTATTATTATTTTTAATTTGGTTATAAAGCACTTGTAAATTTATGTAACTTCAGCGTAGCGATTGACAAGAAAATACTTTTTTTTTCTTTTTTTCTTTTCTTGTAAAGATGTCAACTTTTGCAAGGCGAAGTTGATAAAATTAAAGTAAAGATTTGAAAAATTTAATATATTTTACAATAAAGATAAGTTAAGAGTGTGAATAAGTAGAGTTGTAGAAAAGATTTAGTGAGTAACTCTTAAAATTGCCACGTATTCTGTTGTAATATATGTTGGAATGTCAAAGAGGAATTAGTTTAATGAAACATTCCAGAAAACGAGGCTATTTTATTCTTCTTTTTTTTCTCTTTTTCTGGTCCAAAGGAAAGTTTCCTTGATTGAAGATTTTACTTAAACTGTGCTTCTTCTCAAATAAACAACGTTGTTCATCAGAAGTCGTTTGTTAAATGGAATTTTACATTAAGAGAAAACGCATTTACAATTGGCAATTGGATGAATCCATATTGTTAATTAATTGAACTTGTAGGTAAATAATGTTTTATAATGGTACATTTTTAAAATGGTTTATATGCAGTTAACATAAATGAAATTTTGTGAAAGTCTATTATTGTCGAATGTGTAACAATCAAATTTGATAAATATTAAGCGAAACGTTATTAAACATAAAATGAAAAATTTAACTTAGAAAAGACTGTTATAAATACATTGTTTATTAATATATTTCTTATTTATTATATTAATTAATTAATTAGGGGAGACCGGGGCAAGATCGGCATGTTAAGCTTTACTTAAATTTTGTGTAATAAATACTGCTGTAAACTGAAAAAAAAGCTTTGCATATTGTCTATTGGAATGTTACCTTACTATAGAACTGGTTAAAATCAGTTTGGAAATAAAAATAATTAAAATAATTACAACTTTACAAGAAGAGAGAAATTGACGAAGTTGCCCCGGGTATAGGGGCAAGATCGGCAACTTCTCTCTTTTTGTAAAGTTGTAATTATTTTAATTATTTTTATTAAAGTTGCCCCTGGTATAGGGGCAACAGTAATGGGGCAAGATAGGCACGTATATAAAATTATGTTATTAACAATGTATAAGTTGGAATTCACTATTAAAACAAAGAAATACAAATCCAACACCCATTTAATATTATTACAACGAAATGCAAGTTCAAAGACATATATACATGAATAACAAATGCAAACATGTTTTCATTTATCATCTGTTTGATTTTTATCCTTTGCTTCTAATGTGGCTTTATGTTGCCGATCTTACCCCGCTAGTCATGATTTCGAAACATTAAGTACAACCCTGAGAACAGAATGCCAAGCCACGATCTGGCCACGTGAATAAGTTGAAGTTACATCCTTCTAACAGGAAAAGTAACTTTCGTTATCATGGAATTATAACAAAACCTGCCAATTCAATATAAATGGAAAAAAAATATTATATGGAATTGAACGAAAATGAAAATTTGCTTGATAATTCAACTACGCTTGTTGGAGAACAATAAAAACACTACACTCAACAAGCCACCAATAAAACTCAACTGCCTAACCTATAACCAAAGTTTCCTTTTAATTTGTTTTTATAAAAAAGCGCTTGACAAACTTGCCCCGCATGCCGAAGTTGCCCCGGTCTCCCCTATATTAAACGAACGATATGAATTTTATTAATTAGTTTTCTACTTTTAATTATATTTTATATATATTTACAAATACATAAGTAACATTATAATATATTATTTCTACGTGTAAATAAACCATATATGATATTGTAAATATATATAATTAGATTTATTTTAAGTGTGTTAGAGTAATGTTATATCGAGGACATAAATCATCTTTACAAAGTTTTATAAAACATATTATTATTATATTTTAATTAATGAAATTAAACCGTGTAAATGGGGATTACTTTAAATGAAAGAATTTTTAACGATTATAAAGGAATTGTCAACACGAACAATTTTACGATTAATTTATGGTTTGTCTGGAAATTTTCTGTTACAAACTACACGTATTAAAGTATTTACTCTTGTTAGAGGTGATTCAAAGTCATTGACTCGGATCCAATTTATCTTTCTACAGTTGGCTACACAATGAATGACATCAGGTATAAATGGGCCGACGGGGAGAGTTCCGTTGGTATGTCCAAGGACGTTGAACTTCCCCAGTTCAAAGTGTTGGGACATCGTAGGGAGTCGAAGGAAGTTATCCTCTCTACAGGTAAACATTTATTATTCCCTTACTTTAACCTGTGCCGAATTGATTTGCATCTCTTTCTTGTAGATCCAACTAATTATGGATCATTAATTTTAACTAGAAATAATTTTGATGTAACAATGACATACTGAGCCTATACTAATACTTAATTTTAAGAGAACAAACTTTCGAAATTAATTAATGTAGATCAAGTAAAAGTAAAATTAAATGAAGCATAATGGACAAAATTTAACTTTTCTACGGTATTTTTTTTTCTTCCCCCTGATTTTAAATTATCTTATTTTCTGTATATATTGAATTCTTTTTAAATAATATAATATGGAGGTAAGCTAGAATATATAACGTATTATAAATATTTCATCACACATAATCCGTATATTAGATAAAAGGAGAAAGAGGAAGAAAAGTTTCTTCTCTCTTCCGATATTCTATACGAATATTGATCCCGAACAACTAAATTTATTATTTTTTGAGATTCCCAAGGAATTCGACTTATCAGGAATATGGAAATTGGTCCTATTGCTCCTTCTTTCACAATATAAAAATTTATTATATTTGAATTTTCTATTGCGTGTGAATTATATTTTCATGATTTTTTCCCACCGAATACGAACTTAAATATGTTAAAAAGTATGAAGTTTCTTGAAAATAGCTCGACTTAGAATCTTTGCTCCAATAAGATTTTCTGGTATTTTCGTTAAGGCCATAATGATACGGTCATTAAATGTGTAAATTTGTATGGCCTATTTTTTATACATTTTTAAAATTCGGATTTAAAATTTACATTTTTTTTTAATACTAAGAAAGCGAAAATTAAATATCAGGATCTAAATAAGGGTAAATTTGACACAATAAATAAATATGAACATTTATAAAAATTAATTTTTAACGTTTTTAATATAATTTATAATTAATTACACTTAACTATCACCGCAACGTTATTAACTAAGCAATCTAACTTACTATAAAAAAGGGAATTTTACGAAGCACTACAGTTGAAATTACTTCACTTGCGCTTCCAATTTTCGCATTTACTTAATGAAGACGTTAATGAAAGGCTATCAAAGTACTTGCGCAATAATTTAAGTGCTATAAAATTTTTATATAGCTTACAACTAACAGTCAAATGCGCTGATATTTAGTATGTAAGTTACAGTACTTGCTGAAACGATATAATTTTTATCATACATTTTTATTTTATAAATAATTCTTATAAAGTTTACTCGAAACCTCCAACAATTTACACGTCAGTTAATTATCAAAATTCAAAATGCTGCTTAATATTATTTCTATTGTATGTTCGTTGTTAAACTTTTGAAATGGCTTAAAAATGTATCTTCAAATTTACAAGAATCTTATTCACAAATTATTTTTGGAATTTTTATTAGGCAAAATAGTTTATATTCCTATATCGGGTTTAGGCCTATAGAAAATAATACCAAAATTTGAAATGATTAGAGTGAACAGACATTTTCAAATATTTGAAAATTATAGTAATTTGATGTTATATTTTGAGCATAATGCGATAGGTTAACTAAAGGAACCCCTAAAGAGATAAACTATCTCTTTAGTGGTTCCGGGTTCAAATCCAGGTGACAAAATACCTAGGAATTTTCCTGGGCTGTAGACTTTATCCCTCATCACCCGGTCAGCCTCATTGTGGGTTCAGCCTAACTCACGATGGTCATGAAAAACGTTCTCTTAATGCCCACAGAGCGGAAAGAGTAAAAAAAAATCTAACAAAGCGTAATAACTTTTTAGAGAAATATTTTAACTACAGAGTTCTAAAAATTCGAATTACAGTATACGAAAATGATCTAAGTTCTTACAAGTGTTTTGGTTGGTTTAACGCTCGATCAAGTAATTCTAATCATATGATGATTAAAAAGTAAATTCGACCAATCGCAACTTTCTAACCCGAATATTTCTCACGTGTTTTACGCTTTAACCAATCAAAAGAATATCTGTAATTTTTAAACTATATTAGCCGTTGGAAAGCTGGACCAAAAATTTCAAGATGAAAACATTATATTAGAATACGTCTAATTTTTAAAATATGAGACTAGTGCCTTGTTCGCACACTTATAAAATTCGGAAAATGAATAAATATATAAATTCACGTTAACGTACAATTCAGAATAAATTATTTTATAAAATTAATATAGAAATTGTTTTCTAGATAGTTACCTTTCACTTATGGATTGTGTATTTTGGATATACTTTATATAGGTTTTAATATAATAAATTTCCGATTTCTGCATCTCTATTTTAATTCTAAAACTATAATTTCTTTGTTCTAACGTTGCATTACATAAGACTTAAATTTAATTTAGATGTTTTCTCAATAAAAAATTCTATTTTTAGTTAAGTAAGTATTTTGTTTTATCAAAAGCTGCATTTAACTAACCTGTAATTTATGATTTATTTATTTTAATTTTTAAATGCAAAATTATATTTATAAAAATTATTATTAAAATTTATTATTTATAAGATCTATAATTATGTTTCATTCAATAATAGATATTATTATATTAGAAATNTTATAATATAATAAATAAAATACATTCAGCTATTTTTAAAACATTGAATAATATATAATTACCGAATTCTTATTTTAAAACAATATAAGATATAAATCTTTGCTCTGTTCTATACTTATAAGAACACATACAACAAAAAATGAAATAAAATATATTTAAAGGTTCGAATAAATTAATTTATATATTTTGAATATTCAAAAACATGCAGAAAATATACACGAAAATGGTTTCTAAATATCGTAGCGACCTTGAAAAACTCAAAATATAAAATAAATCACTTCAGAAAAGTTTATAAAAAAGAGTTTTTTAACGGCTAAAAAATTATTCAATAGTCGATTCTAACTTTTTCCTCTCTTTTTTTTATTTTTTAATGCTAAATTGCTAGAGTGAAGAGTTATAAAAATTTCTAGACTTTTCCAGAATCACAAAAATCTATTTTTAGGTACGAAGAATGAAATTTTCACTTTAAAATTATGTATATAAAACCTGAGAATTCGCTACGTTTTAACCATTTATCTATCGTACAAAATAATAAATATAAAAATTTATTGGATTAAGGCTTGGATTTTTTATTTTCCTAAAGATAAATAAGTAAATGTAAATGCAAAATAAATTATAATTTGGATAGTAGTAAAAAGATAATGAACAAAGAGCTTTAGAAGGCCTGTATTTGATTAAACATATGTAATAAAAGTTTCTTTGGAGAATTTTCTATAAAAAAAATGGCTAGTTCCGAAATAAATTTCTTCCCAGATAACTTAGTTATAAATATTTAACATCAAGTAGTAATCGTGGTGAAATTCTTTTTTAATATTTTTACACTTGGGATGGATGCTTAATGGTCAAGCAAACATTGTGTTTACTTATTCTCATGATTTACTTTGGTTAAAAGAATTTTATGAGATGCTACAGATTATGTAATATAAGTTCATATCTGTTATTATAAATAATATTTATCTAAACCTGTATAGGTTGTTTATTAAATATTTGATGAACAAATATTAATTTCCTGTTAAAGTTGCAACGACGAAAATGTTTATTCTTTGATGGAGTTTTGTATTTATTGTACACATAAACATGGAAAAAATAATAAATAATAAGTGTAGTATATTATATAACTTACATTGTTTACTAAATATAAGAATCGTGGTACACGTATAGTACCTATCACGAAATGGTAAATAAATACGGATAAATAAATGTGTTTACCTGTGTTAAACCAATAAAAATGTTGATTTGCAAGAATTTTAATATTTTATTTTAATAAGTCACTTCTAAATTTACATTTAAAAATTCATAACAAAGGAATGATTCATTGATGACAATTTTGACGACAGTAGCAAACACCATAAATATTATACCATGATTATTTCTTAACATATTGTAAAGTAGATAATTTTAAATTTAAATATCAATTTGTAACAGTATAATTAGTATAAAGTATAAACAATTATTTATATTCTATTTTAAATATGCTCAATAATATCTGTACGAAAGAGGGTAAACAATGTAAATTAAAAAAAATTATTAAATACTTTCGCACCAATTTTAAAAATTATTTAATTAATAAATTATTACAGGTAACTATTCCCGTCTTGTGTGTGAGATCCAGTTTGTACGGAGCATGGGTTACTACCTCATTCAGATCTATATTCCTGCCGGCCTAATAGTTATCATCAGCTGGGTGTCGTTCTGGCTACACCGTAATGCCACTCCTGCTCGTGTGGCCTTGGGTGTCACTACAGTGCTAACGATGACAACCCTGATGTCAAGCACAAATGCTGCTCTGCCGAAGATCTCCTACATCAAGAGCATTGACGTTTACTTGGGCACCTGTTTTATAATGGTTTTTGCCTCATTATTAGAATATGCTGCCGTTGGTTACTTGGGTAAACGAATATCTATGCGAAAAACTAGACAACAACAAATGGCTAAAATTGCTGAACAACATCGGCAAAGGTGCGCTGCTGCAGCAGCTGCCGCCGAGGGAGAGAGAGAGCCTGTTCTTTTGCCCGGAAATGCGGAAGTGACGATGGTTAAAGCGGCGGTAAGTTTACCCGATTTTTCTTATAAAATTATTCATTTCTTTAGATTTTTATTATTAAACACACTTGTCATCTTTGGAATGCAATGTTTCCTACTTAAATTCTTTCCTAACTTTCTATGTAAAGTCAGTGTATGCAGTGGCACGTTATCCTATGAGCGAAAAGGGCAATTGCATGGGGCTCCACAAATAGGGGCCCTGAACCAATATTTTATAAGAAAATATTTCGAAAAAATTTCTCCAAAAGAAAAATGTCTGAAGTGAACACTATATATGAAGTCCCTAATTCAAATTTGTCTGGGGCCCCTGAAGCTATAACGCGCCACTGAGTATATGACTGGTGCTGAGGCGCGCGCGCGCGCACCGTATAATCAAGAGTCGTGGGTTTGTATCCCATGTTTTTTCGTGTTTTTGAATGGTCATTCAAATATTTGCTTATCATTAATTTGTTTTTTAAATAAAAAGTAAAATTCTTAATTAAAACTAATAATAATAATAATTGAAGAATACTTTTATGTTAGTTATATTATTTGCAAGAAAGAAGAGTTGGAACTAATTACGTATTAATTTATTATATTACTTTTGTTTTATTAAATTCAGATCAATATTTTCAATTTAGCCTATTATACTAAAAGTGTTAGTTTTTTTCCTACTTATAATTAGTAAATTGGAAATTGTAATGGTGTTCATTCTTCTTAATCACCCATAAATAAAATTTAATAAACAATTAAAATAATAATAATTGTATTAACAAAGTAAGTATAATTTATATTATGTATAATAAGTATCTAAAAAAATTATGATTACAATTCTCAAATGTATTGAAAATTTGGAAATACTTAAATTAAACATTTAGTAAGATTATATCGCGTTTAATGTATTAAATAACACTTTATTGCATATTATTTTACAAACTTTTAGTATATAAAACAATTGAGAATTGTTTCCAATCAATTTATTATTAATTTACAAAGTTTATTTTGAAGACAAAATACAGAATTATGCATCTTTGTATGCAAGGCCGTGGCTACAAAATTTGGCACCAGGGGTAAACTGAAATATGGCGCCTTGGGGTAAGCCTTTCATTAGCCCGTTTCAAATGTAAACACTTTATATTAATATATTTTCTCTTTCTCATATATGACAGTTTTCTCTAAATTTATTAGTTCGCCCATGTAACAATTTTGGAATTTTGGCTCCTTGGGCACGTCGCTGTTTGTATGTAGATTCTTGGCTTCACTCAACTACCAATAAAATCAAAAACATTTTACTTTAACAAAAAATATGGAAATACTTTTCATAACCAATTAACAAATACAAAAATTCATGCAATTTCGAGCAATTTTTATTTAATTATTGGAATGGCAATTGTAGAAGTTCCTGAAATACAACTTAGAATTTATTGTTACAGTAATTACATGAGCGAGAACTATTTTACAATAAAGTTTACGAAGGAAAAAGCTTTTTAATAATATTTCTAAACGAATAAATTCAAATAAAATTCATTATAAACTTGCAATATATCGAAACATTCTGTTAAATAATTAATAGAAAATCTGACCTTTAACGTTGATGAGTTAAAATACGGTCGATAAAAGCCAAACTACAGTCTTGATCCGATTCATCAATACTTTAAGCAATTATAGGAATTTGTTATAAGAAAATAAATTTAGATTATATTAATTAACACTTAATTTCTACACGTTCTACCAATGAAAATTAAACTTAAATTATAAGTTTCATTAAGAATGGAGACTCAAAATTCATCTAAGTTATAAATTATAAGAGTTAATAATGAAACAATGCGATTACCATTCGAAATAGTTACTAATTCACAAAATGTAATGAAAATTCAGTGTTAAAATACTAATATATTATCATTATATTATTGGAAAATTTAGAGTCATAAAATTTTTTACTGAAGAAATATTTTATTTAAGAAAATTTTAATTATAACTTTGTTAATAATACTAATTCAATGTTATTTTAAAACTTTAATAAATATAACTTTTCAAAATTTAATATATGGATAAATTTAGTAAGTAAATTCAGACTTTTATAATGACTTATTTCCTAATTTGTTGTTGATTCTATACACGTAGCGTGAGTTAAATGAGGTACTTAGTTTAAAGTATGGCTGTGTATTAATTGCAACTCATTTTTTAAACATTTGTATAAGGATTAGAGTAATATTTTTTAGTGTTTTTAGTTAGATAACTGTTTTGAAAGATTGTGACATTATTCAGCCTTTCGTGTAGCCCAGGGCTTATTGGTTGAGAAACATTAATGTAGGCCTATATAATTCGAATTTACGAAGTGTAGCTTTGAAGAATTCAGTAATCAAAATAAGATTCAAACACTTTTCAAAGAATTCGATAATTAAATATTTGAAAATTTGTTCAAGAGTTTCCTCAAGCTAAAAGTTCTGATTTTACTCAAAATAAAATAACATTGTTCCATTCNTCTTATATCACATGCGGATTGTACACGAAATAGTTGTTTCTTCTCATATTAATTAAATTTCTTCTTGAAATTTATAAATATTAAGTGGTTTCTATAGTACGGATGATTATAGATTTCTTACAATAGACTTTTTTAAATATTTGTAGTTAAATATGTACTATAATGTTGAATTTATAAACGAATTTTTACTGTGTTTGCATGTACTATACATTTTGTTGTTTAATTAGTTTCATCATAAAGATAAATAATGCTTCAAATGCCGTGCAGTTTGCTGTTAGAACTTCATACATTTTATTTACTTTTTTTATGTATTTCAATAGGAAAATATGAATTGTAACTTCTAGACATAGACAAATCAAACAGGAAAACTTTATCCTAATTGCCCGATGATAATTTCCTATACAGTATTTTATGATGTCATGGATCCTTACATATATGGAAAAATAGGTCGATGCTTTATCATTCACTTTTATAACAATTTTTTTAGTTGATATAAACTTACTTTCAAGCACAATGGCGAGTAACAGAAAGGAAAGAGAAAATCGTAAACTATAAAAGAAAAAAATGAAGGAGTGGCTTTTCTCGAAAATTTTCGAGTGTCTATCGATGTTTCTTAAGCTATGTTTTCTACATTGATTTGAAAGGTATCCTTTCTGAAAGAGACTCACAATCGGCTTATATATTTTTAAAGATTGCTTAGTATCCTCAACTAAGAAAATAAATAAAGTAACGGATGTCTCTCTCCTTCGCTATATCCTTCAATAAAATTCTACGGATTCAGTTCAAAATCCAGTTCCAGAGAATAACCAAAATGTTCGATTGTTTACAATTATTCAAGACTTTAAAATAAAATAACTTTATGAAATTAACAAAGAAAAAGATAATTTTTTAAGCAGTTTGAAATATAAAAAATAGAATTTATGATTTTTCTAAAAGATTAATTTCCTTCTATAACTAATTTTTATAAATACCAAAATGGCGAATGAACTCGTATAAGTCGTGACCCATCACTAGAGAATCCTGGTTAGATTCTCTGTTTGATATCTATCCCATCGTCTTTTATTGCCTGACATTTTTTTTACTGCTTTGAAACAGAGAAAGGTCAATAGGAAAATCAGCTAGGTGAATGAGAAAGCAATCTCCATAAAATTACACTTCGATAAAATTATTTCAAAAATATTCAGTTACAATATTCTCCTTTGAGAGTATAATGTTAAAGCAAAATCAAGCGTAAAGTTCAATTTTAGAAATGATAGCGAATTTCCTTAAAAGTGAAAAACAATTTCGCTTCGACACTTCTAAGAAAAGTCTGAAGAATTTTTGTGAACTTTTCCAAAACTTCTTTGTTGCAGGTGAGTTGTAGGAAATTGCTTCTTTCTTTTGTCTTATTTTCCTTTCGACTCGTGTCTAAAAGCAATCTTCCAACTTAAAATACTTTTTTCTCCTCTTTCGACGTTTCACTTTCTTTTATGTGATGTGATTACTTTGGAGTTCATTTTAAATGTAGACTTAATCTTTTTTTGTAGCGTTTAATGTATTAAATAACACTTTATTGCATATTATTTTACAAACTTTTAGTATATAAAACAATTGAGAATTGTTTCCAATCAATTTATTATTAATTTACAAAGTTTATTTTGAAGACAAAATACAGAATTATGCATCTTTGTATGCAAGGCCGTGGCTACAAAATTTGGCACCAGGGGTAAACTGAAATATGGCGCCTTGGGGTAAGCCTTTCATTAGCCCGTTTCAAATGTAAACACTTTATATTAATATATTTTCTCTTTCTCATATATGACAGTTTTCTCTAAATTTATTAGTTCGCCCATGTAACAATTTTGGAATTTTGGCTCCTTGGGCACGTCGCTGTTTGTATGTAGATTCTTGGCTTCACTCAACTACCAATAAAATCAAAAACATTTTACTTTAACAAAAAATATGGAAATACTTTTCATAACCAATTAACAAATACAAAAATTCATGCAATTTCGAGCAATTTTTATTTAATTATTGGAATGGCAATTGTAGAAGTTCCTGAAATACAACTTAGAATTTATTGTTACAGTAATTACATGAGCGAGAACTATTTTACAATAAAGTTTACGAAGGAAAAAGCTTTTTAATAATATTTCTAAACGAATAAATTCAAATAAAATTCATTATAAACTTGCAATATATCGAAACATTCTGTTAAATAATTAATAGAAAATCTGACCTTTAACGTTGATGAGTTAAAATACGGTCGATAAAAGCCAAACTACAGTCTTGATCCGATTCATCAATACTTTAAGCAATTATAGGAATTTGTTATAAGAAAATAAATTTAGATTATATTAATTAACACTTAATTTCTACACGTTCTACCAATGAAAATTAAACTTAAATTATAAGTTTCATTAAGAATGGAGACTCAAAATTCATCTAAGTTATAAATTATAAGAGTTAATAATGAAACAATGCGATTACCATTCGAAATAGTTACTAATTCACAAAATGTAATGAAAATTCAGTGTTAAAATACTAATATATTATCATTA